ACTTATTGCCTCACGAATTCACCACCGCAAAAACCTTTAGAATTAATTCAGAATGCGCGGAGTTAGAAGGTTTTTTTCACGCTGCAATTGCATTCTGTTTCCTCGTCCCGATGTAATCGCTGGAAACTGAGCAGGGACGAACGGCATCGGAAAAAAAAAAAAAACGACACGCGCGCCTCATTGCCGTATACGCACTTTTCTTTTTTTTTTTTCGAATACACATCTTTTCAGTGCCTTAGAGCGCGCACGAGTGGATAAGTAGCGTACTCTCGCGGCAAACCCGGTAACCAACGAGCGCGCCATGCTCAAATCAGCAATGGCGGATGCATTGCTTTTTACGTAACGATTTTGGATATCCTACGTCATTGCACGAAAGAGAGCGGATTTTCAGCTGAAAAATTTAGTGCAAATTACAGGCCGCGAGCTGTAGTATAATATTTGACTCGCGTGTTCTCTAGTCTCTACTACCGTTCGACAGCATTTCTGCCCATGCACAAAAAGAGTTGCAGGGACCCTTTAAGTAAGGCTGCTACATGGGTTGCTTGAACATCGACGGGAAGACATTTGCGGTTACGAGCACCCGCTGCATGCTCCGCGTGTATAAATTTCGACTTCCATGCATCTGAGATATTTTTCAGAGAAATTTCCGCTTGATGACTTTTATTTTCTGGTGACCTGCATTGTCCCAGAGGGACAATGCATGTCACCAGAAAATAAAACATAACATTGCGTTAATAAAACATAACATAACATAACATAACATAACAAAATAAAACATAACATAACATAAAAAAAATAAAACATAACATAACATAAAATATAACAGGACATTGCGCACGTTAAAGTACTATTTGCAGTGCTTCAAAAAGGGTATCATTTGATCACTTATGTCATATAATACAATGCTCGCTGGCAAGCTGCTTTAATACCGAACACTTCTTCAAATAATAATAATAATAATAATAATAATAATAATAATAATAATAATAATAATAATAATAATAATAATAATAATAATAATAATAATAATAATAATAACCATATTATTATTATTATTATTATTATTATTATTATTATTATTATTATTATTATTATTATTATTATTATTATTATTATTATTATTATTATTATTATTATTATTATTATTATTATTATTATTATTCAAGGTGTCATTTACCAAGCATATTCCCTCACGTTCAAGAAGCGGTCCCGTTGCTATGATATGGAGTATGATGCCTTATTATTCCATTTGAGATTTATGCCTACTTAAGTACTATAGATCTCTAAAAACTTCAACCTGATATGCCTTCTACGACTCTTAAATTCCTGCTATTTAATTTTGTTTACTTTCTGTGATGCTAAGGTGCCGGTTCTTGTTACCAAAGACAAATGTAATTGTCGTATTCTTAATTTATTTTTCTAGCTTATTTCCAAGCTGGGATGCGTGTATAGATCTCAACAAACGCATTCATGTCAGAGTGTGGTTGTACACGACTAAATTACAGCCGCGTTTTAACGATCGCAGTAAGAGAATGAAGTAGCCCCTTAAAAATCTCGCAACTGATGCTGCCTTATTTACAATGTACTAATTAACATACTAATTGTATCACATATCAGAAGTAAAAAAAATGCTTCTGCACATTTATATTTTGCTTATGCTTAGAATAGAATGAAAAATATTATACTAACACGAATCGTTAGCGCATTTCTTTGTGTATAGGTGGCGTGAATGGTTTTAACCTATTCGGTTATGGCAGTCAAAGAAACAAGGCAAAAGCATAACACACACACCAAAAAAAAAAAAAAAACTATTGCAGAACTTCTACTTTTCGAAACCACGATATGACTCACGCCACGTGGTGGGGGATTCCGGGCTATTTCCAACAACCCGTAGTTTTTTTTTTTTTTCATTCGCGCCTACATCCAACTACACGGGTGTTTTTTCACCCGTATGCGAGCGCCCTGGCCCGGATAGCACCCGCGACCTCGAACATTGCAAGCTGCACAGGCTACTATCGAAAATGCACGTTTTGAAATTGAACAACAATGGTGAGCCTAGCTCCCGAAAAAAACGACTGCCTTGATCGCTGTCAGCTGCCCATGCACTGTGTGAATGAAGAAGAAGAGATCGTACGGCCAAGGTAATTACGATCGTTCTCTATCACTCATTCAATGCATATTCATACTGCACATTCAACGATCACATTTTCGGGATATTTTTGCCGTAGTCATTTCGCTCCTCCTAATGCATGTTTGAAACCCGCTACGATCAACGCCATCATAGTATAACGCGCAAACAGCCGCAAAGCGCTTTAAAGTTCAAGACGTTGTTATCTTCCTGTTGTCCTTACACGCGCAGTTGTTAAGGGCTACTCAGGGCACATAACAAATTAAAATGCACCTCTGCTCTGCAGCCTCCCTTATTTACAGTCACGTTCTAAGCATTGCAGCATGCATTGTATCTGGGTTTGAAACCGTAGCCAGACTCTTATATTATATTTCTAATTAAATTTTGCTTGCACCCTGTGCCCTTAACTTCTTAAGCCCCCGCTCTACTAGAGAACACCTAGACACCGTGGACAGCGCTTTATTTACGGCACGTCAACGGGTGCCCATGGTGTATCAAAACATGCTTATCCGAACGCAACCGGAGCTGCAGAACGCATTTTTTTCTCTTTATTTATGTTGTATTTCGGTCATCGGATAATGGCATCACGTGCTGTAGACTAAACAGTGACGCAGTAACAGCGACTGCAACAACACCGCAGCTGCGGTCTTGCTTCCCTTGGCACCGTCTATCCTGGCTACTGATCCGGTCGCATAGCACCGTCGTTTATTCAGGGACATCCATTGAACAGTGTAGCAGTTGCTGAGGTAATACGTGACAAATGTTTAGGTTACTGAAGGAACGAAGGAAAATAACTTTATTTTGGTCCTCCGGAACGCTACTCGGTCGCGCACCCACCTCGATCGGATTTGGGCGAGTGGATGAAAGTGCACTTTTGATCCCCTTACAGTGCAAGAAAAGACGAGGATGCAGACCGAGGTTTCCGCATGAATGTCCGCTATTCTGTCAGTGTGTGTGGTTGGTCCGTATCATCGGGATTGGGGGAGGAGTGGTTTCCACTTGTTCATCATCCATGCTTTCAGGGTCGCCATGGTCGACAGAGACGTGCGGCTCTGCTAATAAGCTGCAACGTCACGTTTGCACTCACGGCATGTGAACACCAACTGTTGACGTGCTATTACACTCTACCGTCTTTCGGTGTTGTACGCTCGTTGCTGCCTCAGACGATTGCAGCCTTGCATACACTAAAGATTTAGTGCACAGTGGGGCCACTGTTCACGGCACATTATCAACGCAAGGGGCACCTGAAACAAAACGATTTCGTCTTTCTCGTCACTACTTCGCCGTCACTCGTTCATCGCCGCCCTGCTGCCTCAAATAGGAAGTTTTATAGCGGCGCGTTTCTTATAGCCGCCCGCGTCTGTGCCTCCCAGTCGTATCCGTGCGCACCGAAGGTCGCGGGTTCGAAGCCCGGATACATTTTAGTGTTGGCACAACGCTGGGGCTCCGTGTGCATAAATCGAGGTGTGCGATGAAGAACGTCAGGCGGTCGAGTTTTTTTTTTTTTTTTTACTCCTCCGTTACGGTTTCTTTCATAATTATGTCGTTTTGCGATGTGAAGCACAACCATCATTATTCAGTCGCGCACCACGAGTGGCGAGCAATGTATATTTAACAGAGTATTTACCTATTGCTGCAATCACCTTGTCCACGACATCGTTCGTAATCTAGGGCCTCAGAGTTGGCGGCAGCATCAGGCGTCATCACTTTCACTTCCCAACATCAGCGAGGCCGTGCTATTTCATTTTAGCGTAAGGCACCGATCACCCAAAGGATAGCTTCGAAGGCAGTAAACAATGTTCGTCAGCGAAAGAAAAAAATGCTCGCAAATATTTCCAAAGTGCACGCAGTAACAAAATGTGTATTCATAACATTATTCATGAATAAGTTGTCTTGGCAACTAAGAACCATTTATAAAGGTAATTTGGTTTGTTTTCCCACTACAGAGCTTCCAATTTTCAAATAATATGCTAGAGCAAAATCTGGTGTTACTGTGCATGGGTGTTGCAATTCGTTCCTTATCAACGAGCATGGGAGCGATGGGTAGTGCATGGATTTTTCTAAGCTTCATTCTTTCGGCACTGTTTTGCTCCGTGTGCCCTACAGTCGCTTTGTTGCGAGACAATGTTCCGCATGAAGTTCAGGAGTTCCACTTCGCCCCCTTAACGTTTCTAGGCTCACCAATTCAAACAGACCCTTAAAGCTAGCAATGGTTCGTTCTTGTATTATAAAAAAAGAATCCAAAACACCAGGATAAACAAAGCCACATGTGCGTTTGAAGCCGCAAGCACGAATATTAGACAAATTCATTCCCATGGTGGCTGATTGGTTGCAGCAGCGGATTTCCGTCAGGTAAGTACTGTACAAATTCTATGATCTTGTCACCTTGAAACTAACCCCAGTTTTTATTGTAACTACATTTTCATAAGTTGCTATGTCAATCTGTATTGTTTATGAGCTGTCGGGGTCAGAAGAGTATATTTGGGTGGTTTTTTTTTGGCGTTTCTTTTTGTTGTACATAATGTAACAGAACGTTGCTCTATGTTCTAGTAAATGTTACCGTAATATTCCTTTTCGTGTTCTCGTTTCTAAACTTTCTTTTTAGTGCTAGTTATTACACATGCTTGAACTCCTTGTTTTATTTACTCCCCTTATGCGAAGCCTCGAGGTGTCTGTAAAATATATTAAATAAAGGAATAAATACTAGCTAGCAATGGAGTCGTAACCACCGCGTGCATTGGTTTATCCGCATGGGCATCCGGCCGCGGCTCCAAAAGTAAACGACGGAAGTCGAGTGCAACTAATAAAAAAAAAAAACGTAGGAAGCGTTGTGTGGGAACCCCGTTCAACACGCAACGCTAACGCGACCTGCGTCACTTCGAGTCCCTCCACTCTGCAGCTCGTGTCTGAAGGCTTTAGTCCCACTTACCTTAGTTCACTTTGATCACCGGTGGCCTTTTTTTTTTATCAGCGATATCCTATGTCAGGTCGTACAACGTTATCGTGCAGTCATGTTTTGCTCGTTAGCAGCAGTCGTACAACTCCTCTGTGTCTTGAGGACAGTGACCGCGCTGGACATTGACACCTCGGACGGCGGCTACACGAATCTTCTCGTCACCATCGACGAAAGTGTATCATACGATGGGAGCATTATCGGAAACATTCAGGCAAGTAACTTACGGTACTGCGTTTCGCAGGCTTATCCTGTCTTTGTTTTCCGCGCTTTGCTTGGGAAGAATACAGTTAATAATACACTCTTGTGCGAATTCTAGATTAATGCCGGGTATATCCGGGAAACTGGTCGAATATTGCCTGATTTTCTATTTATATCTAGCAATTCAAGCGGAACCTGTCCAAGAGCGTTGGCTCGCTACAGGGTGCGCTCTCCTATACGCACCCGTAATAAGGTCCTGCGTTAATTCGTAGGCATAGCGAGGACATTACTTAGTTTAATACGTAATTATCCTTCAGATTGATATCTATAAGTTTTATCGTCATCATCGTCAGCCTGACTATGTCCACAGTTATATAAGCTATGTAAATAAGGATAGATATTCATGCCACTACTGTTATTGTAAGACAGATGTTATACATCTCGACTGCTTAACTTAACGTCATTCTCTTTGGAAGGTTTTGGACAATATATACGGTAAATATTGAATACATACAGGATTCAAACTGGGTACACACAGGATTTACCACTCAAACCTACGACGTACTAAATACTTGTGATCTTCAAAAGTATTTGATAACGCACCTCGAAAGTACAGGCGCTGCAAAAGGAAAACGGAGCGTGCAAGCTGTGGCTAAGCTACGCAAAAGTATGTGCCAGCGTGCTCCATCGCAGCACTGGTTCTTCAGTTTTACGTGGAAACGATGGCACTAACTTTTGGCACGTTTTCGTATAAAAAAAAATACACAGCCATTTCTCTAAGGGAGCACGCTGACTTTCACTTTTTCGTAACTTGACCACAGTTCGCGTGCTCCGTTCTACGTTTTGGAGCACCTGTACATATCATACATACCATTCACTTCCAAAGTATACTGGAACATGAACTCGAAACCCTTCAAGCGTGTAAGTTATTAAAGACGATATAGATCAGCATGTGGCGTAGCTCTAACGAATGCCTTGAAAACTGCAGTGTTGTTTCACAGAATTTTGTTGTTGTTTTTTGCATAGCTTCCTGGCTAACGGTATCACTTTACTCGGGACGTTATGGAGAGTTCCAGGTGCATTACTTACTACGCTTTATCGTGGTGTGACGCTCTACACAGGCTCTGTTTCGATCATCCTCCGCGTTCCTACACCGAGCCACCAGTGGGCGCGTGTACTTCAAGCACGTGATCATCGACATTCCTGACACGTGGACGGAAGACATGAAAGCACGGAGCGTATCTCGGACCGCTTTTGGCAGAGGTGACGTGCGCGTACGTAATTGTTCGAGAGTCTGCGAGAACCGCCCCTTCACGAAGCAGGTGAAACTGTGTGGTCATCGGGGTGAATTCATCCAGCTGTCGTCGCAATTTCTCGACGAATGGAGTCCACCCACCATGGCCAAGAGTGAGAGCTCAGGCAAGTCGACATGGGAATTAAAATTCGTCTTTAAATTCTGATTTATTGGCGTCATACCCAGGTGCTATACACCGTCATCTCACTAGCTAAACGAAACATCAACACCATAGCTAGTTGAAATGCTTCACCATTAAAAAAATGTGCTCTAAAATTATTGCACCGCTTCATGAGCATTACTGGCGAGATGTAAAATAGTTAACGTAATTCGTTTAGAAACTGATACCCATAGCGCCCCCTCCCCCTTTTTTTGAAGTGCGTATTCAAAGGTGTAAACAAGGCTCCTCTTTCTCGCCACGGCGATCTAGTTGCTATATGGCGCTCGACTGCCATCCTGAAGGTCGCAGGATTGAATCCCGTCCGCGGCGGCTGCACTTCGGAGAAGGTGAAACGCTTGAGACCCGTGTACCAAGATTAAGGTGCACGTTGAAGAACAGCAGATGGTCGAATTTCCCGGAGTCCTCCATTGCGGCGTCCCTCATAACCACATTCCTTGGTTTAGGGGGGCAATACCCCACTTAATATTATTATTAAGGCTCCTGCTCTCAGCTTGATCAGGCTGACCGGATGTTATTGCAATCGCTAGAGAGAGAAAGGGAAGAGAAAGGCAGGTGAGTTAACCCGAAACTGGTATTCAGTATGCTAGGGTTAGTGATTAGGGGGTGGAAATAATGAACAATATAAAGGACCAGTCACGCTTTGATTACAAGATAAAATTATATCTAATTAAATTGTGTCCGTTTAAGGATATATGTTAGAAAAAAATCACCTTCATGAGTTTTGAGGGGGAGTCTCGAAAATAACTCGCGTATTGTATGTTTTTTTTTTGTAATATCGTTGATGGCGAGAGGACTCTTGCTACATTCCAGTGAAAGTGACCCATACTGTGCGGCTCAGTGTGGCGATCCTGGTGGTATATATGTACTATTTGTTTTCGACTAACTGAGAGCCTAAATGTAATGGACGTACTAAACGCTCTAATTGATAATCTTTGCATAAATATTTTCTTTGGCCGACAGCGCATGTGTTTGTGCACGAGTGGGCCCACTATCGGTACGGTGTGTTCGACGAGTACGGCAGTCGAGACGATGACGAGCACCCACTCACTTACTGCCATGGAGATAAGGTGAGACAGCGCTGATTTGCGACTCTTCTATGTAGGAAGGCGGGGATTTTCGTTATAGTGGGGTTTTCGATCGCTCTAAGCCTGAGACTAGCCTGAAATTTAGTGTATACCGATTCGGACGAGTTGACGCCAATAGCAAAGACGCCCTTCCCCTCCACCTCACTAAGTATTCAAAGTTGGGTGCTAGTTTTGCCGACACCTTTACTCAGTCGGACCCATCGAGTCATTTTTAAACACAGGGTTAAGGCTGCGCCTATTTATGGGCGAAAATGGTGACAACCACTGTTTACTTCCCATGACTTCCCATGGTGAAACCACTGTTTACTTCCCACCTGAGAGCCAGAGACCAATGACAGGCCTTCAAGAATGACACGTCATCTCTTCGTTTTCATTTTTATTTCACGCATTGCGGAGGTCGTTTTCGTTTGGACTCCACCTAAGGAAAGAGGGGGGGGGGGGAGGCATTTGGCCGTCCTTAATTGGGAACCCTGTGTACGCCTATTTTAGTGTGTATTTAAACTTTTTTTATTATTTAAACTACCCCAAAAATAACTAAATGAAAAAGTCTAAAGAAAGATGTACGATTTGTGCATTTCCACCACTGACATCAAATAAAGTGTCAAGGCAAAGACCTACCAGTATATAGCTAAAGCATCCCACGCTGATCTACATTTTCTGTATCAAATTCATTTGCTATTCCAATCCGTTCAACTCAACAATGTAAAGTTGTGCAATAAACTTACACTCGCCAAGGTAAAAATGACAGTAAACACGCATTGACGTTTGGGGGCCCGTACGGGTCCTTCGATCCCAGTGAAAATGCGAGCATGGGCATGCGGCTATTTATATGTCAGGTGGCGCAACGCGCGGGTGTATATCTCTGGTAGATTGCCGTTTGTTCTGCTTATCGTGCGGTTAGTCGACTGAACGTAAATTGATTCTGAAAGAAGACGGGCAGATAAATGTATTTACGTTGCGAAGTTTCTGCTGCGTCCCAGTCAATACTGTGGCCAGTTTCATTGTAGTGTTCCGCCAAGGCATTCGCAGTTGTGTGGCCCTTGGCGACGTCATTTTGGCGTTGTTTGAAACGCCGTTTAAAATAACCACTCGTGCCGATGTACGACACGTCACATGCCCTGCATGGTATCCTGTGGATAACTCCCGGTAAATGCGTGCGCTTCAAAGGATCCTTTACGCGAACAAGCTGTTGTGGTGAGTTTTCCAGTAGGCACGTGGGCTACTTTACCACCATAGCCTATAAACCTTCTTGCGAGAGCCTCGCATGTTCCCGCTGCGTAAGGAATTGCCGCGTGCTTCGCCCTTTCTTTTTCTTTGGCTGTTTCACGGCGGGGCTTAGCTGCATTACGTTCCTGAGTCCTGAGAAGTTGGATAGAGTAACCGTCCATTACAGGTCCCTTCAGACCCTCTGCAGTTCTTGCGTACGTTTTGTAGGGCTGGAGCAGACACGGAATGCCCGGGAATAAAGCTCCGCTGCAACGAATCTCTTTTGTCTGATGGGGTCTGCTGAGTCGAAGCTGGGGTACTTTCCCGTGTGCGTTGGTTTTCTGTACACGCTTGTTTTTAACCTATTGTAGGTTCTCTCCACAAGGACGTCAAGAAAAGGAATTCGTCCATCGATTTCTTCTTCCACCGTGAACTGTATGCTCGCCTTGAAAGAGTTCAGGTGCTGGAGGAACTGTGCTGTGTGTTGGCGACGAATAATGCAGAAGCAATCGTCTATGTATATATCTTTGAAAAAAAAAACTTGGTTGCGTCACAAACTGGGAAAGGGCGGCACAGTCCAGATCCTCCAGTGGCGGCGCAGCCTTGGCGGAACACCAGAATGAAACTGGTCACAGTATTGACGGGGACGCAGCAGAAATCATGACAACGAAAGGACACTTATCTGCCCGTGTTCTTTTAGAATAATCTTACATTCAGTCAGCTAACCACACGATAAACAGGACAAACGGCAATATACCAGAGATATACTCCCGCACTTTCCACCACCTGACATACAAATAGTCGCACTCCCATGCTCACATCTTCACTGTGATCAAGGGACCCGTACTGGGCCCGAAACGTCAATGCCTGTTTACTTTTATTTTTACCTTGGTGAGCGTAAGTTTACTGCACAATTATGTTCCCTCGCCAGACAATGGTTTGACAAACGCTTGATTATAACAATATAAAGTGTGACACTGACTCGCGAAAAATTACTTTGACATAAGGGTCATTCTAACGGTCAGTTTCGTTGCTTTTTCGCTTTTCTATGCTCTAGGTAAAGCTGAATTCTTGCTCCGAAAGAATTCAATTCATGGTGAACACTTCTATGAGCCAAACGTGCGGAATGAGGAAGAACTGTCAGTTCACCAAGGACTGTCTGATTGAATTCTTCTCGCCAATGAACTACACAGTGGAATCATCCATCATGTTCATGCCATATGTGAGCAATGTAAGTGTGTCGCGCTCCCATCGTGTAAATAAGTTGCCCAATTCCTATCCACTGGGAAATCTGCAGAAACAGCCGAGCTGCGGTTCTCTTCTATTTGCCTTGAAAGTTTCTGTGACTTTTTATCATATCTTCGGATTTTGTATGAGTGTCTGTGATCGTGTTATCTATACAGTGTGAGAGAAGCTCGGCAAATAACGTGTGACAACCCTCGCTACACCCGCCCCTGGTATACTTACACCAGGTCTTAGTCAATCTAGAGCCACCCCTCCCCAATTCGCTGCGCTGTTACCACTTTGTCTACAACCAAAACAGTTTCGCCATCTTTGGACGTATCTGGGAAATGGAGCGTGACATGCGATGTGAACACTTAACTGTTGTCAGGCTCGGCCCGGAAATAGTTGCGCTATTAAAAAAAACATTGCCGAGAATTTCTCAGCAGGGAAATGTAAAAAGCCATGACATCACAACCTAATATCCCCAGTCGTAGAATTTTAATGAAAGTGCCATTCCAAAAGGCCCTGTAATGTGCGACATCAATGCACGCTAAATAACCCCAGGTTGTCCCAATTTCTCCAGCTGTCTAATATCGCGTGCCTCGTAAGTTTATTTTCGTTTTGGCACGTAAAACGCGGAAATTATTATTATCCTTAACCAGAAAGCACAGACTTAGCGTAGTGTGACAATCCACGTTTGGAATGAGTTCAATATAAGCTATTTATTGTAAATAAGTTTTACATAGTGAAATGACTGCATGGAGATTGAAGGATACAACAAATAAATACCGGTGGTAGTGATGAGGACAATATTTAAAAACAAACGTGTGTGCATGACGCTGCGAAAAGAGCAAGGATACAGGCTCCTTGTAGTGTGCATCACTACCGGGAAAAAATATGGGCGTCATCTTATTCTTATCTTGTGCTCACATACGTGAAAACTAAGTTTATTTCGTTCTTCATTGTTTGTAGAAAATATTTCACAATAATTTCGTATAACTAGTTGCACACTGACACCTTTTGTTTTTTTTTATTGTGGGTATTCATACTGGAACTTCTTCGAGCGCCGGTTTGCAACTGGCGTGTGCGGCATCCTTCAATGTTGTTTCCTTCGTTCGGTTACAGATCAGCTACTTTTGCGATGACATCAAGAGAAACCGCCTGCATAATTCGTTTGCGCCGAATAAGCAAAACAAGTTTTGCGATGGCATGTCGACATGGCAAGTGATAATGCACAATGAAGACTTCAGAAAGTTTGTATATTTTCACATTTCGAGCTCCGCTCTTGCATTGTTCGTTCTTATCTGATCTTTTTTTGTTGATTCAACACTAAAAATATTTTGAGATCGATCGTCGGCACATATGTGTTCTAGACATCGAAAACTTACTCATACTGAGCAAGCAGTGTTTAACTGTCCACAGAAGATGCTGCCAAGTTTGTAGCGTTGCGCGCAATTTAACTTTTCCGTTTTATTTGGTGGCTTCATTTATCACATTGCTCTTCTTATCTGTTGTATTATCTGGTGCAAAGGGAAAAATTTGGCTCACTATCTAGCTGCTCTGTAAACGCGCGCAAATAACGGAGAAGTAGATTTTCATGGAATCTGCACGAGTGATATGGCGTTGAAGACGCCAATGCTATCGAGAAAAAAGCAATTAATGCTCATATCGTACCAAATGAGACGGTAGACCCAACAAAACAGAAGTGTTGTGCACTGCTGTCGTAGTAAGCGCAAATTTTTCAGTAGAATTTTGTAAAACGAATGATTTGATTGATTGATATGTGGGGTTTAACGTCCCAAAACCACTCTATGATTATGAGAGACGCCGTAGTGGAGGGCTCCGGAAATTTAGACCACCTGGGGTTCATTGTAAAACGAATGTAATCATTCTCAGAGCAACACAATATATTGAGGATGTTCGTACGCTTAAACACAATTTAATCATTTCCAGCCTCAATGCGAATGGACTACTCGGTTGGCACACGTTTTTATGCTGTGATATTACTGATGCATGGAACATTCGATATCTATTATGGAATTTCGTAATTGACAAAATTCTTTGAAAAAAATTTGTTACTTTAAATCGGGTCCCTCATGATAACAATGTTAAGAATTTTTAGAGTATAACACAATCCTGTGCTGAGTTATTGCGAGAAAAATTGAAAATTTGGGCAGCCGCTGGGATGGTGCTTAAACATTCATTAAAGAAAGAAAAAATTCGACAAAACGTCGCATTCGGCACTTCATCGAAGGTCCGTGCACCGTGTTTAAGAATATTCTTGTGAGACAAGGTGTGCCCTATATAGAAGATGCGTGCTCGTAAGGTGCAAAGGGATTATGTATCTTTTTATCAGCAACTCCATATAGGCACATCCCCTCTTCGCCTTGGTAGATCAGTGGCTCGGGTGCTCGGCTGATGCCTAGAAGGTTGCGGGTTCGATCCCAACCATGGCGGTCACATTTCGGTGGTGACGAAATGATAGAGGTCCGTGTGCTTTGCGATGACAGTGCACGTTAAAGAACACCGGAGGGTCAAAATTTTCGGAGCCCTCCACTACGGCGTCTCTGCGCAATCATATGCTGGTTTTGGGACCTGAAACCCCGTGTATCAATATTCGACACATCTCCTGATTTCACGAAGTTTTCGCAAGCATTTTCTCGCCACTAACTTGGATTATCTGACCGTGGTGCAGGCTACCACTCCCCGACATGGCCAAATCAGTTGAGACAACATTCGAAGTAGTCTCCAGAGACGACAACCTGAAACCAGTGGTTGTGCTGGTTCTCGATGTGTCGGGTAGCATGTTCGTAAGTGCTTTCTCTCTGTCATTGGGAGGTGGGTGAATGGGTGCGAAACTTTATTTTTAGCCCTGAGGTGCACGTCTGAACTCGCGGATGCTCGCTCCTACGTTGGGGCAGTCAGGCCAAGCCCGAACGCCACATCCTGGACCCTCTGGACTCCAATTCACGTTGCCGCATTGCTAACGCCGCATTGCGGCAGATCTACACTTAAGTGCTTTACTGCAGTTCTTCCAAATAGCACTTACAGCCGCCATATTTTTTAACCTGAACGCGCGAGCGTCAACCGCCGGGTATGTAAGCGCCTGTTGTGGACGTCCTGGTGTCTGGCCCGGAACAGCCTAGCAGAAGACAGCTGTGCAGGACTGTTTATCGCAGACAGGGACGTATATATTCTTGCTCGTTTCGCCACTGTGCTCCGCTAAACACTGCTTATCTACTGGACGATCGACGCTAGCGCGTTCAGGTTAAAAAAATATGAGTGACTGTGCATCCATATTGTAGGCATAAATGTTTTCTTGTAGCTTTCTTGTACTGCGAAATGTTTTCCTCAAGCAAAGACTCTTGGCCAGATTTTAACCTATGTTGCGGTGAGACAGACGTGAAATCTTATATAAGAACAGCTAGATAAGCATCCCAACTCGGATTCTTTTAACGTCGTTAACAGCCTTGGCCGTCTGTTTGTTTTGTTTGTGTGTGCGCGTGTGCATTGGCCTTTTGCAACAACTCTGAAAGCTGCCTTTAAATACATGCTGGAAAATATATTTGCGCTGTCCCATATGTAAACCTATTACGCATGATATACCCTATTACTAGGCCTGCATCAGCTGGAGTGCATTAATGAAGCAGCAAAAGCAGAGTTGTCACTCTTGCTTTTGTTCATGTGCGTACGCGACGGTTTTCGTGCAATCGCGGAGAGGGGGTTTATTGCGTATACAGTTCGCTCCAAACTCAAAGGCTTAAAACAGCCTCAGCACAGCACGTCAATATCACCAAAGTTAATCTTTACATAAAAGTGATCAAACGAACTATAATGATCGTTACCGAGTAATAGACTGAATCAAATAGAAAACAGTCGAGTATTGCTTGGAAGTAATTAATTACGCACGATTCGTCACTAACAACTTTTCCCGCCATTCTTTGATTCTTCCTGTTTGCATTTTTTCTGTGGCGTGCACTGACTTACAACAGAGCGCGTTATGTGTTATGTTGGCCTTGAATCGTTGCTCCAGAATCGTTATTGCTTAAATGTTGGTGGGTGAGCAAGTTTTCACTCTTCGTGATTTGTGTTCCACGGCAAACGTCTTGAAAATTTTCTCACAATTCGTCTCGATGTTCCAGAAGCACCACCGGCTGGACTACCTCAAAGAGACGGCTAAAGGATACATACGACGCGTTCCTGACAACTCTATACAGTTGGCGATAGTCGTGTTTGAAAGCACTGCGCGGATTGCCTCTTGTCTCAAGCCCGTCAACGAAACCACGCGTGGAGATTTCATTGACGTGATTCAGAGGCTGACTTGCCTGGATGGAACTTGCGTGAGCTGTGGCCTCTATGACGCCCTAACGGTAGGTTGCACACCGAGTGGGGGAAGTCTTGATCGTGACGATTGCAAGTGCTGGTAGCTTTCGCGCAAATGACCATGGAAGTTAGCTCGGGCACGTTTAGTGGCACTTATTATGTTTATATTTCGTCAGAAACTTACTTAATCTCATTAAACCAATAGCTACGCCCTCTTGTATACCTTCAGAAGTTATAAATACGTTCACCGCCCTGTACTGGTCTGTATCAAATAGAAAAGTGAAAATGATGAGAGCGCGCTTCATTTGATTTGCTCAGTTTACCTATAATACTTTCGAGTTGACTTCGCGTATAAAGTGTACCAACCGAGCTCTAGTGCAGTTTAACTAGTTTACGTGAGCAAACACGTTTTGACCTGTAATTGCCGAATCACCTCTAATTTATTTTACATTACAGCACATGTGTATACAATGGATTACATGAGCTGCAAACGATGGTACAAAAGCTGATTCTCTTTAGCTTACGTTCAGCAGAGATGAAAGCCAAAGCTCTCACGTTTAATTATATGTTAATTCAGAGCAGCTCTTTCATGCTTACTTCACTTTCAGTCATTTCACCATTTGATTTTTGGTTTATTTAGACTTCATGCATCTTTAAATGTTTTCGCTGCCAAGTTATTCGTTTATTGAAGCCTTAATTCGACTATTTTCCCCTTTAGTGGACCTTACTTCACATTTGATTCATCATATATGCATCACTTGGCGTGCACTTGGTGCATTATTTCACCGATTTCCCGTGATATTATTCCAACTAATATTATCAATTGACAAATCCGAGAATATACCACATGCGGCATTAGGTATTATTGTTCTCTACGCCAGAATCCGAATTTCCTTGCTCGTGATCCAATAGGGCTCTCGTTTTCATAAGCTCGCGTGTATACTTATGCGTTCGCGTTGCTAATCAAAAACAGATTTATTGTATTTTATTTTTCATCCTCGCACTGTAACAGAGTGGAATATTTTTTGTTGCCTTCAGCCACATTGTGATAGATTCAGACTGTATTATCTTTGTTAATATTTGCCTTAATTTCTTCGTTTCTTGCTTTGGACTCGCACTGTTTGAGCCTTCATATATGGTTTGCAGTATTAGATAAAGAATTAGAAAATCAGTATGGCTACGCTTCGTCTTGATCCGTCAACAGGTGGTGCCTTACGACAGCAGAGAAGGCGCCGCCTTTATCCTCATGAGCGACGGTGAGTACCAGACGGACTGGTCCATCGCCAGTGCAGCGCATGAGCTAGCCGAAGCCAAAGTGAAGGTAACCACGATAGCTCTGGAGCCGACGGGTGCCAATCAACTCGAAGAGATCGCCCGTGTTACGGGAGGCAAAGCGTACGCGTTCCACAACCTTCAGGGACGCACCGTTGCCGACATCGAGGCAGCTGTGGTGGACGCTACCACGGCTGAGCTGGATGACCGCGTGGTGGTAAGTGCGTCACAGTCGCTGATAAAAAAAAATTGCCCGCAGCTTCCCTCGGGGGAACACTGAGGAGGATGCGGACCATATAATTGGTTAACGGGGTGTTAAAGTGCGACTTACTTGGGTCGATGGCTAAATTGGTTAACGTGGTTGTGAAATGGGGTGTTAAATTGCGACTTACTTGGGTCGATGGCTAAATTGGTTAACGTGGTTGTAGGAGGGGGTGTTAAATGAGTGAACACGTACACACGTATGCGAAAGGGCGGCGCTGGTCGAAGGGACGTCGATCATTGTGTTTGTGGATTCGTTGGAATTCATTTCACCGCGACCTTGGACGTCGACGCGCCGTACAAACCAACCGACGAGCGGCAACTGAGCGAGCGAGCGCCGACCTTGAGTATATATACAGCACGACGGCGCATGCACTGTCAGCTGTTGAATGTTCTCGAAGCGCGACGCCACATGCGCGTCCACTGGACAATCAGGAGAATTGTAGATGTCGAACGCGGTGTGTAGAGGAGGAAGGGTCCACAGATGGTGGAGGAGTGAAGCGCGCGCGGTGTGTAGAGGAGGAAGGGATGCACAGATGGTGGAAGAGTGGGCGACGGCGCGACGGCGCATGCGCGCGCGTCAGCTGTCGAATGTTCGAGAAGCGGTGCGGACGGCGCGGACGGCGCGGACGGCGCACTACAAGGCGCGAGTATAAGATGCTCCGCATCTAAAAATGTTTATCTGATAATATGAAGAACGACTGTCAGTTGGGCGTGTCGGTAAAGGTTCATGATGAAACAAGCGCTAAAAATACGCACACTCAGTGAGGACACAGACGAACGCTTGTCTGTGTCCTCTCTGAGTGTGTGCATTTTTAGCGCTTGTTTCAATATGATAATATGAAGTGGCGCATGAAAATTATGCTGAAGTGCTCATAAACATGTCCGCTTCCGTTTATGTCATTTTTATGTTTGCGTGAATATGCCTTCTGTGCATTGCTTTATCGATATAGCGACTCACCAATCGCTACATATAAACTGCGTTTGCTTGATATGGGGTAGTTCTCTACGGGAACCTTTTTTTTTGTTTATTGGGCAGCAAAATGCTGCCTAATCCATTTACGCGTGAAATAGGCAGCAAATGCTGCCTATTCCACGCGTAATTGTCAGCGCACAGACATATTAGCAGTGTCAGAAAATCGTCTTACTTTTATGTTTTTTTTTATTGGTAGTTTGGCCCAGACACACTTGTTTGAAAAGTTTCTCCTGAAGGTACTATCAACGTTAAATAAAGCCCAAACAGCTGCAAGCCTTTGCGAAAGTGTAGTGCGTGCAGTCCAGGTATTACCATTTACAGGCGTGCGCATCCCGTTCGGCAGCATTGCGCATATATGCGTGCCTGTTCGTAGCGATAAGTGGACGGCTTGTACTGTATACCATCGCGAAGGCTCGCTGCTGTTCGGGTTTCATTTTATGCTGATAGTATGCTTTGAGAAAAAGAAAACATGGTATTTTTTTTTCTGTTGTGGATCCTGACTTGCCGCATGCGTCACTCTCTATGCAAGAGTCGGGGAAAGATGGAAGCTTGTGATGCAAGAAATTTTTAACGTTAACTGTTCACGAGCACACTCGCTGTTCACGAATTTTTCATTCCTTTCAATGAACGCGTTATCTCTTTCCCGGAGAAACATCCGTACCGTGACACTCGTGCGAGAGTATTGACATATAGATGGGTGCTTTTCTTTAAAAATGGTTATATATTTTGCAAAATAGCGTGTCCAGCATTACGGTACGCGGTGAATTCATTGGTTCAGTAATAGTTCTGCGTTTACGTATTTGACTTGTGCACCGCCACCGAAAGCTTCATAATAAAATACAGCAGCGCTCGCAGTCGCCGCTGAACCACAAGTGACAGTGGCTTATCCAAGAAGTGGCTTACTAGGCCCATGCACCCCCCCCCCCTTTTTTTTTTTATTTATAGCGTACAGAGCGAAAAATGACCACTTTTAAAGGCGCCACCCTCTCCCGCTCCCAGGAAAAACATTACTTCATACGCCCCTGACAAACGTTCATTTTATTTGTTCATTGCTTATAATAATTTCCAAACAAGACATTGTTGACGGGAGTTGTTTATCAATAAGCCTTTGAAAACTACCTCCTTAATTGACAAGATGTCGTTTTTATATTTTACGCGCCAAGATTCGAGTCCTATAGCCGGCTCAGAACGTGTGCATTCGTGATGTTGGATAATAACGCTGTAATGTACTTGGAAGACCAAAATAAAAAAAAAGTGGCCGATACATGTTGGCCGGCGTTTAAGTAGGAGAACACATCTTTGACAAAGGTGGGTTCCACTATCGAAACTTCGGCGAGCCTGTCTGAGGCACTGCCTCTGTTCCTTCTGCTAGTCTTTTTAACTTACTTGAACGGGCTGAGACACCGTAACACTGAACGAAAACAAGTTTTGTCATGCATATATACATGTGACTAGTACCAATGTGCACCCTTAATCACGGATACATACATGACGACACAGGCATGTGCCTGCGAATGCGTCTGTAAATTGTCATTTAATCTGTCTTCAAAAGAAATGCAAGAAACTTGAGTTTTGTCACGCGCATGATAAGTATGCTGTTCGTTATTTTATTAATTCTCGAATCTGTGGTAATACCTATGTGAACAGGCAGTTGGTCGGCGCTTGGTATTCGGGTGTCTCCAATCCCTTCATGTGCAGTACTCACAAGTGGCACATAAAAAGTTGAAAGTTGAAAGTTGAAAGTTGAAATTTATTTCACCACAACGATACACCGTGATTTACACAAACAAGAAACAATTGTGGCATGGAAAGTAGGAAAAAAGCTGCGCTATAGCAGCTTGACTAGCCCCACCTCCCATTTGTACAAGGCAACAGAAACAATGGCACACCAAACTCCATACAGTGCTCACGTATGATTGAAAGAAAAAAGAAAAGAAAATAACATTCTAGTGGTTGTTTATGAAGTACAGAATAGATGCACACTTGGGTGTTTACAAACAAACAATTTTTGGGAAAAAAGGCAACCAATATAAGACGCTATAACAGAAAGGGGTACACTTAAAACTTCATGCATTTACAAGTACTGGGTGTAATTTTTCTGGGTTTATAGCTCCTTATACAAACAGGTTTAATATATCACTACTTGAAAGGAGACGCAATTGCTGTTCTGTGAGCTTGAACTTATTTAGTATATGGGGAACAGAGTGCTTTAGCATTTGGAGTCCGTAATTTGTTCGCGGTCGGGGGATGTGCCAAACGCGGGCACCTCCCAATTTGTTTTTTTTTTTTTTTTTTGCGCCACGGTACACAGATCATGAAGTGTCACTCGAGCATGTCTGCCTTCCCGGCCCCTACTTCAGACGACGGAGGCGACCCCTCTCCTAAATCAATTTCTGCCTACATCCCTGGTACTTCCTAAATTGTGATATGACAAATCAGTGATAAGTAATGCACATACTTTCACCTCCACCCTCTTCAGTTCAGCGCAGATTGACGCAATTTCGCCGGAAACGCGTAGATAATAGCCGCCATATTATACTCTAACGTCTATTTTGTCACGACTTGACGTGGTCATCTCGGGCTATTGCGCGTACCAGTCGCTATACTAAAAAAAAAAAATAAAGCTTGATGTCGTGTCTGAATCCGCGAATATCGCACGCTATAGCTGGAGTCCTGTACAATTTGTTACCAACTGACTCCTATCTATACTCTTTTTGAATGCGTTTGGAGCCTTCTGACGAAACTTATTCATGCGTTACTCAGAGTGCCTAATCACGGTGTACATTTGTGAGAGTGTTGAAAACACAATGGCAGACGGCATGTCGTATATGTTCGCACGCAGATAATGATACAAGAAAGAAACTTTTCCTTTCCGACGGATGTCAATTTTCTGGTGGACCACACGGTGGGCAAAAGTACGACAGTGCACATTCGGCACATGGATCGTGACAAGACTGCTGTCGATGCGTGGCTCTCGGATCCTAACGGAGTTGCCTGCGATGCGTGCAGCGTCGACAGAACGTGGCTCAGCACGACTATCACTATTCCCAACGAGCCAAAGGTAAAAAAGGGGCTATCTACCTCCGCTGTCGCTGTAACGTAAAACTATTCCAAAAAGCTTTTGTAATGTGAATTCAACATCTACTCTCTGCAATGCTTGAAAGTGTGTGCGAGTGTTAAAATGCCGTGTTCGCACTCAAATAACTTTTGAAATGTTTCAGCGACCACCGAATCAGCAAGTTCTTTACAGCTGTTGAGGACAGAGCCCTTCTTTCTTATCTTTAACGCAGCGTCACGAAAACTGCGAAACATTTTGTCTTTATAGTATCAAAAAATATTAGATGGAAGCATAGTTTAAAGCCGGCAATGCAAGCATAATGCATGTATTAATGTTTAAGATGTACTCAAAGATAAGAAAAATTTTAAAGCAAGATTCGGCAGATTCCACATACCTTGAGAATCGATGTTATGTGAAGCATGTGCATGGAACGTGATTGTTTTGTAATATTTATTGAGTAAAACATCAAGAAGTTGCGTTAAAACAATGTACAAATGATGTATGATCTTACGTATACGCTGAGCAGTCGCATGTGTTTTACGTAATTAGTTTTTCACAGTTGCGTAACGAGGCCAAGGGTAGGACGGGCATTGACAACACCAGAATCGGTAAGCTGATATGTAGCGCTTGTGTTTGGGAAGATGGTAGCCCTGCTCACTGCTACATTAATCGACTTCAGCGGATGGTGCCTAACTACAGTTGACGTTAACCCAACGTTACGGCTGTTTTACAGGAGGACATATGTAATGATTATAAAATTGAACAGCCAGTACTGCCACTACAATTGACGTTTCGCGAGCATTAGGGTCTGTTCGAAAAGTAGTTCTGAGTCCTGGCGTAGCTCTGTGGTAGAATTCTAGATACTAGACTGTATGGTACTATACTAAGTGGCTACTGTACGTACGCACCACCTCTTCCTGTCTCCATCATCACCCTTCATCCCTCTTTCCTTCCCCTTTCCCTTATCCCCTGTGTAGAGTAGCAGGCTAGAGCGAACTAGCTCAGGCCGACCTCTCTGCCTTCTAATAAATTCTCACCCCTTCTCTCTCTCTCTACTGGATTGCCGCGCAGAATGCGTGGGTTTGATTCCGGCTGCGACCCTGGCATTCTTTCTATGCATTCGTCAGGTCAACGCTGCCGATGTCAAGTTTTTCGGTATGCTCACGCATTAAAGAATAAGTGTGTTCTCGTTGTTCTTGGGTAGATACTAATTGTCCATCTCCTGTGGCACATACCCGCATAACAGTGGCACATACCCGCCCGCGGGTATGAGCCACTGGTATCCTGTGTACGGGCCTGGTGTACACTCTTCCGCGTTGGTTACTGGCGTCTGTTGTCCAGAAGGGCTTTCATTGCATGTAATAAATATTTTGCAATGTCACGCTACGTTCTCAGCCCATGAAATCAGGCAATTCTGTTCGCTTTCAAACCATACGAGAGGTACCTCATGAAAACAAGGGGAGTATCATTAGGCTGTACAAAAACCGTTGCAGATCTTGCCATACGTTTGTGCCGTTAGCTGCCTAACTGGACCGTCAGGAGATTCGGATGAAATTGCGATAAAATAACTTTGCTTTATAGCAGCCCCCATATTCCTGCGTCCTTACGTTTATCATACAAGACTTCAATCGTAAAATTTTTCAACCTATAGCTTCCGCAGGCAGGAAACTGGACGCTTCACATGAAGAGCCCCGATACAAGTGCTGTAAGTCTCTACGTCGAAGTGAAATCGCGAGCAAGGTCCACCGTATTGGTGCCGGTCACGCTCGTTTCCGAAGTGAGCTCGCCGTTGGTGCATGTCCCCAACCTCGCGATATACGCACACCTGAAAAAAGGCGTCAAGGTGGTCCTGCACGCCGACGTCGATGCCGAAGTCCTGGGTCCGATTCCGCCGTACCTGTCGACAACACCACTCCATGACGACGGCAACTGTGAGTAACATTAAGTTTTTTTATGACCAAGCAATGTTGCCATCCCCCCGTTTGAAGCACGAAGCTATAAATAAATCCACAAAGATTTATAATCTAGAAATTGAGCTACCTGGTTGACAGTGTTCGTCCTTGTCTGAGATTTCAACCCTGGAACAACGCGTTTTCGTGGTTGCATACGTGACTGCGGTATTAGAACGCGAAAATCGACGCAGTCCTAATTTGCAAGTACGCAATATTTTCTGTGCAAATATTTAGCTTTTAGGAGCAGTTCTCCCGTGCAAACTCACGAGTTGGACGTGAACATTTCAGTTTTGTGCTTACTTGTCCTGTAGTCAGATGTTTGAGCATTTATATTGCTGTACTGAGGATAACTATTTTGATGTTCATTCATGTAGTTATTTGTTTTAAAATGAGCTTACATTCATCAGCGTTGAAACATGTACCCCGGCAACATACCATGTAAATATAACAGAACCTTGTTTTCCGGGTGGTAGCTCAAGCGTCTAGCCAGGTAGCATACTGTAAGCGAGCACTTCTCTTTTAAATCTTTTTGGGTCTGAATCAAATGCTGGTGTTAGTGTCCATGTAATTTTTTTGTCAAATATGTCAATATAACAAAAAATAGTTTAATTACGCCCCTCTTACTCCTGTTCTTTTTTAACCATCCGTATAAACTAGCCCTCATCGAAAGCCTTTGGAACAAGCAGAACGCTAGCAGGTTTCAGCGCTAAGTGGAAACATTAGCCACGCAAAACACGGAGACACCGATTGTTGCGAATGAGTAAAGTGGTAACCTGCAGGGTCGTTTGTTCTCATTTAATGTGTTTTATTCGCTATACAAGATTACGCAGAGCTTGACTTGCCTTATTTACGCTATTTATATTCAGGGCGACATGGGGAAGCCACCAGTCAAATCTTTGTGTCATGATCACTTGGTTTATCAAACACACGAGCAAAAAAAGAGGCAGAGACAGAAACACAGAAATTAAGCTTCTTTTTCGTATGTGCTTTGGCCACTGGACCTCACTCTGACAAATTCTTTGTATAATGTAAACACCTCTTCTCTACATATGAATTACCCGCCATGCAAAAGCCTACTGTTCTACTCCATTCGAGTTGAAATTTCTGATCCAGGATGATAGGGTGCTTTCCCTTAAGACGCCTGCCTGATCTCCATACGTGAATATATTGTTGAGTACTTTCTTTCAACGCCAACACTCCCAATGGCCGCATTGAGAAATACGGGTATACAATGAAGTTTGATGCCGTAAGTTTTGTTCAGTGCTTCACGGACAGTCATCTGACGAGCATAAATGGGATACAAGTGCTCAATGCAATAAACATTATTCGTATTTCAAGACGTTAAGTTGTCAGATATACATCAACTCATTTAACGAGGCAATAAAAGGTAGTTACACTGAATCACCCAGGGTTGGCACCCCTTTTCTTTTTCTTATTTTTTGTTATTTCTATTCATTTTGTGCAGACCCCGATATTACTGCTAATGATGGCACGTATAGCGGATACTTCACTGCGTACGCTGGGCGAGGGAAGTACACCGTCGTGGTTCGGGCCAAAAACAATAATAGGACGACAACTGCTGATGATCCTTTTCCTGGCTCCGGTGGCATTCCCGGCTCTGTCAATATCCACTCGAATAGCGGTGAGTATCACTTGTTCAGCCGCCATCTTGTCCGATCATCACGTGCCCTGTGACGCCCTCTGTATCAAAAATAGTGTTCCACGCTCCCCACCTGGGCTACGAGTGGTGATTGATAACACTCTCAAGTATTATATAAGTACTGATACACAAATTTAAAAAAAAGTGGAAGAGTGAGCATTTTCCACCGTAGCTCTAATGTTGTAGTAAAATTTGCGCGATTCAAAGGTTGTGGGTGTAGACCCCACTGACGAAAACGTAGTTTTTGTTCCATTTTAAAGTTTTGACTTGTGAGAATTATTACACTACAGTTAGAATACCATAAAAATGTTCCCTACGCTTTCTCTGGCATAATTATCTATTGGATTCATTAGGGGTTAATATCACTGGTACTTGTAAAGTGAAGGCCTTAGCTGCAACAATAAACAAGAAAAGGAACTTTCTCCGGTGTCGGCGTCCGTAGAAACTAATGCAAAACGAAGCAGGGTATCATGAGGTCAAAGTCAGACAAAATATGTGGCGTCACATGATGCGATGTGCTGACATAATCACGTGACGGCACCTTAAGTGGCTTTGTAGGGGCGTCTTAATATCGTCACTAATTTTGGAGGTCTGGGTCGCCATGACGACGTCATAGAGCGCAATCGTCACATGGTTTTTTCTATCGCTTTTGTTGCCAACGCCGCAGATACCACAGACGGTCAGCTTTTGTGTTTGATGAGGCATCTAACGCTTACTTCTTTATAAGCAGCCAGGCAGTATCGAAAGTCACGACTAGACGAACAGCTTCTGAAAATGGGAATGTAGGAGACTTGTGTTCAGCGGCGGAGAAAAGGTATTGATGGATGAAACAGGGATAACGCTGTACTAGCTTTTTTTTTCTTTCTGAAACCACTGAATAAATATTGCAGCATTGAGCACTCACTCCTTACGTACATCATAAAGACTGATTATACAGCGAAATCAACAGCGACATAATCGTTGACGGTGCATCTTGCAGTGTCGGGATTATAAAATTCGCAGACTACTTCGTTTAATCGAAGTTGACAAATCCTTCGCGGGGTTATCAGTACTGAAATGTATGTTATTAGAAAAAAGATCGTATTGTATACCTGCTCCAGAGAAGCCGTAAGCTGAAGCATTGGTGATTTCGTTTTAATCACTGAAAAGAAAAAAAAAAGCACGGGTTAATGCCATCAGTGTTCGCTTTTCTCTAAGAAACGAGTTTTACGCGGCATGTCTTCTCTCAGCCATGAGTGATTATTTCAGAAAATGAGCCAAACGTAGACAGTGTACTTGCATAGATTTAATCAAAACTTTTTTTTTCTTTTGTCATTTCTTGACATTGATATGCCTACAGAAACGAGAAAACGGCCATCCTCCGAATATTTGATCGACGAGTTCGATATTGTTGACTCTAACAACGATGGTGGGTGTACGGCGAGGCCTCACGAAGCAGGGAACTGGGAAACTTTCGAAAGGGCGGCTACTGGCGGAAGTTTTCACGTTGCCACGGACATCTACGAGAAAGATATACCTCCCACGCGCATCCGAGACCTCCGCGTCACCGACATGGAGGCATTGAAAAATGGCAAGCTTCTAGTAAATATCACGTGGACGTGGCCCGGAGCACATCTGATGACGGGAAAAGGTAAGCTCCAAAAACGAGGTATTACTTTGATAGGATTGCTTGTGCAGTGTAGGTTGATCTTTTTTTAAAATTTGGAGTCGGAAAGACCAGAACGTAGGCATGCTCAGGGAATTCTTGCAAGTGAAACTTTGAAACTTGGCTACCTCAATCCTTCTAGTACAAACAAACGGAGTTTCTGCAGTCAACATAAAGTAAAGCATTCAATTTCAGTTGATTGAGCTGCTTAGAGCAATAAATATCATCTGATTTCGAGTCTCCCCGTCCACGTAACAAAATAAATGGCAGCATATCCACGGGGTGAATGATGGAGAGTGGGGCGAAGCATCCGTCCGTTCATTCGTTCTTGCTTGCGTCTGTCCTTGTGTCCATCTGTGTGACTGTCCGTGCGTGCTTGCGTTTGTACGTCCGCACGTCCATCCATGCATCCGCCCCTGCGTCCATCCACGCGTCCATCCGTCCATGCAGCCATCCGTGCGTCCGGCCATGCATCTGTCTGTGTGTCCGTTCGTCCACCTATTCAACACTCCAAGTACCACCATCTCGCATCTTTTCATCATATATTCCCCATATAGAAGCACCGCCATCCAGCAGACATTCAAGGACTGAACGAGAGGAAGCACACGCACACTTTCTTACGGCTTGCGCTTCGTCTCTACTTCCCACCTTTAACCACCTCGAGTTCATGGTATATACTAGTTCACTGTATTCATGGCACTGCAGCCCAACGCTCGCTAAACCTTGCTTAAACCAAGGAGGTTACGCCCAGCGAGTATAACGTAGCAATCCTTTCTTGTCAGATAGTGCTCAATGTATATGCCAGTGGCTGCTAATGGGGAATGAGAGACAAGAGAATTTGGCTTTTAGTTAACGTGCACAGAGCGAATTTTTTATTGTTCAACAACGAACAGGAGAAATCTCCCGCCGGCACCACCTTGCAGGTCAAAGCATAAGACATGTTACGCACTACTATGAGGGACCAACGGGTGCCACTTTAAGAAGCTTCGCCCCCCCAAAAAATTGGCACAGGAGGTCCCCGCGTGCCGCAATATTTAAATAATGATAAACCTAAATTCTGAAGAGTTGGTACACAAAGATTTACTGTGGACGCAGCGGAGACGTCGTCTTAAACTGCAAAAAAAAAACCTATTTAGGAACCATATGTTTCGAGTGGTGACTGCTCTTTCTGATGGTTCTGTTATTTGTACACGCGCGAAAATTGAAATATGAGTGTCCTTTATGCGTTCCCGTGCGATGACTCGGAGGTAAGAACCTCTTTTTTTCTTCTTGTAGTTCAAGGTATTGATTCTGTCTGATCACGCTCGGAAAGTCTTGCGCACCTTCCATAGCACCGTATATGCTATTTTGCACCGACTCAATCCGCGATTGGCCCCGCCTTCAACCAAGCGATAATGTGCGAGGACTGGATCATGTGACGTCGCATGAGGGGACGTCACAGTGATTTCATAATGACCTCGTCGCGTCGTCACAAATGATGGTTATCTATGACGTCCTCACCTTTTTGCGCAACACACACATTGACTAGAAAGGGGCACCACGAATGCAAACTCACAACTGTTTTATTCGAAACAGCGAAAAGCGCTTTTATCTTCGAGAAATACATACGCCTCCCGGCAGTGGACACGAAAACCTACGAGATAAAACTAAGTAGCTGTACTCGGCAACCCTACTTCATCAAAAGAACGAAAGAACTTGGGAAAGAAACATCAAACAAGTTCGATTGCTGATCTTGCATATTTGCAGCAGGATTACCACACGGGCTTTTCGAGTAGTCAAGTTTCTTATCGGACATCGCGACAAAAGCTTGGCTTACACACTTTCTCCAGTTTTTCTCCAGTCTGTAATGCTCGAATTAACTCAGTTTATTTTTGCCTGTCTTTTGACAGAATGTTTGTGTCTGAAGATAAACGTTCTTTTCATTTTTTTCAAATTAAACAGTTCTGAGTTTTCACCTACGGTGTCTATTTCTTTCTGGTCCATGTGTGTGCTAAAAAAGGGATGAATCGGTAAGAACTAGCCAAATTATCAGTATTGTTATGATGTCATAATGATACTTTCCAGTGTTGATAACATTTTATTCGCTTCACTCGGGCTGATGTCGACGCTGCAGGATGTTGACGCCGCTGAAGTGTTAGGGCGGTAAATTTTCACGTTTAATGGCAACTATTGCTTCCGCCTTAACACGATGCATTTTCACGTTTAATGGCAACTGAGGCTTCCGCCTTAACATCACCTGTTCTTTATTATATATAGGTTTTCGGACGTAAAAACACAAATTGTATAGTAAAGTGCACGTTAAGAAAACTCAAGTGTGCCAAATTTTATCCGGTATTCCCCACTATGCCCAATTCTATCATAAATATATCGTGTTTTCGGCAAGTAAGACCCTTAAAACTATTTTTTTCAATTCGATGGGATAGTTTGATTGCATTTGTATTTGTGTCAACATGGAATTCACAGACTTCACGGATTATATCGACCCTCACTCGATAGACATACTGATTTGACTGTATGTGTGTCTACTTTCTTGCAGCTTCCTCTGTGGAAATTCGAATAGGACACGCCTACGATCAACTGACATTGATGTTCGATGAACAAACTCTTGTAAATGATACCGATGTCGTGGTTGGAAACCTGAAGCCGTTGCCACTGGGCTCCAAGCACATCGTCAGCATATCCCTGCCCGTCGCCTTCTCCACGCCTCGGGCGGATGGTACACTCGCCTACAGCGCCCTCCTGGCGGCTCGCGTCGTCAACCGCGACGGGCTGAAGTCCAACATTTCTAACGTGGTCAGCGTGTACCACGTTCCCACGTTGCGGAAAGCGCCCTCTGCCGCCCCGGTCAAATATCAAAACTACGACTGGATATGGATCGTGATTGCTCTGCTCATAGCGTGCGTTTTGATAGCTATTGTGGTGGTTGTCGTAAGGAAAACGAAACTTCACAAGCGAGATGTTTACGCTATTTTTGCGAGGAAACAACGACATGCGGAACCGGACCCTGTCTAGCGTAGCGTGTACATGCAGCGAGAAAGTCTTGCGGGAGGGTCTATTCGTCCCTCGGTGTCACGTGACCCGAAAAGAAACAGGTATGGCCTATATTGGAATAGCACGGAAACACAGCCAAAAACAAGAGCCCCTTCTTGAGTGTGTGTGTGTGTGTGTGTTTTTTTTTTTGTCAAGTGCTCACATTGAAGTAAACTTTATTCTTAAATGAAGCAAGGTATATATACCCTTCTTTGTTCGTCTCTAACCCGTTGCGCTGTAAAATATTTTACAATGTATTTATACCAGTAGTATTAACAGAAGGTACTAATGAAAAGCGAAAGAGTCAGGCACGTGTTGAAACACGACCAGTGCAAAACAGCAGTGTACATCGCATTGCGATGTATTACGCTATATACCATGCTATACCGACTAGTCCGAAACGCTGCATGCCTATTGCGTAAGGCGCCGTTATTGGAGGGCTGGTGATATAGCAGTCGCCCTGCCTGGTTCCGCCCTTGAAGACAAGTCGACTGTTGTGGTCCGGCGCGACTCGTAGCTGTTGTGGTGCGAATACGCTTTCGCCGTCCGTAACATGCAGGGCAGCACTCACTCGCTGTAAGTGAAATGCGTGGCGGGAATTTTCGGGGCGGGAAATGGAGGTCAATTTTCACCATGAGTTTAAAGGCGTGATCAAAAATTCCCGTGCCGTGTTTTCATAGGACCACACGTCTAGCAGCCCGCGAACTTCTAATGACCCCTTTGCGTAAATGTGCGGCACTCGGCAATTGTATAACGATATTCGGAGTGGGTATGGTATGGCAAAAATGGCCCGGTTTTTTCAGTGTAGCGTCATGTTCCGCGTGCTCAACGCAAAGTGTGACAGTTTCCTTTAAAAGTTTGAAATGATAAGGCAAACCTACGTGATCGTGCGCAAGAATAAAATGTTTTTCTCGTTGTCCTATCTTCGTATCGCCTTTTTCTTTTTACATTTGTGCGCTTTAGTCGATGCGCCGCCGCAATCGCTCTTATCACGACCGCCGCCGCTCTTCCATGCTGCTCCTGCTGCTTGTTGCATGCGTGTGTGCTGTTTTTGTGTACGGCGTGCCGCGGAAATGCGTTTTAAATGTCGGCGAAATGTCACCGATGTAAGGCTACAATGGCGGACTGCGTGGTGGCACGGCGTACAAGCTCGCAAAAGAGACGGCAAGATGACGTTGTTCTGCTTCCCGAGAAACGAGAGGTAAGTACTCTTTCTATGCAGTCGTGTGACGGGTAACCGGCAATCCGTTGGGCAGCTTCAGGAAAGGTATAATATACGCTCAGACATTGTTCGTCGGGTGAGATGCACTCTTTTCATAACGCTGGTAACCCTGCGCACGGGGCACGACACGTGTGGTGTGGCGTAAACTATGACTACCCATTTACTATTGCTACCCATTGATATTGTCGAACGGAATGTTCCTACGTGCGAGGTGCATTTGTGTCTAGTATTTAAAGACATTAGGGAGTTTTAGAATAGCGCACCGCGAGCCCTTGCGGTGCGGTCGCTGCCACTGCGCATGCGTCGTAACGCGAGCCGGCGTTCGCGGACCACACGCAAAAAAATCCGAAATTGCGTGCGGTGATGGCGGCCCGCATGTGCCCGCAAGCGCTGGTTTCGAGGCTACGGTGTCGCTGCGATTGTGCGTTGCGGTTCGCAGTGGGGCAAACGCTATTCTAAAACGCATATGGCACCCGCTACGCCCGCAGCACTTGCAAACGGTATTCCATAACTCCCTATTGACGCCACGCACACTGACGGCAGCTCCAATGTGGAGGGAAATCTAGCCAACTTTCCTCAGGTTTGGTTGTTTATAGTGGATACGAAGACGTTCAATAACGTTCGTAATGGTGGGGTAATGGTACTTTATTGGTGACCCAAAAGTCGCGAGTTTAAATCCCGGCTGAAGCAGGCGCATTTTCATGGAGGCAATGCGCTTCAGGTCGGCGTGGATAGGTTTAGGTGCACGGGAAAGAACACCCGTTTGGGTGGATATTTCCAATGCCCTGTGCCATTGCCTTTACATAACGATGTCGTGGTTTCGGGATGTAAAACCCCCGCAGTTGTCATGAAGGTAGAGAAGACTATCTCGGCTTGTTGATCCCGGTTAGACATTGTGAGGTACTTGGCTATCCGTGAGGTACAGAAAATTTGAGGGCTGCATCGCGCAGGTTCCGAAAGCGTGGTCGACGCTGCCTGCTGTCTTTCACGTAGCAAGGAGTTTTGGGGTTTTACGAAGCCAGAATATCTGTGAGCATACGAATGCCTGCTTTAGTTTGCTCCCTGCTCATCAACTATTCACCTGTGATGTGAGATATTCGCGTTTGCCGACAGTCGGCTAAGTAGCCTTGCTGCTTTTGTCTGAAAACGAGAGGCTAAATTTGACCGCAAGTGGTTGATGTTACCCTGAACACTCTCCGAATTGTTGTAGTGTTTATGGTTCTTGACTGTGGACCCCAAGGTCGTGGGTTTGATACTCGACCGCGGTAGCTACGTTTTCCCAGAGGCAAAATCTGTAGCTAGGAGCAGTTGTCGAAAGGGAACTGTGAAAAATAAAAGAACAAACAAATTATGACCTTAACGAAAACTTGCCCGAAACGTTACCTATTACTTCGTACCGTGTGAAACAGAAATATTCGCATTGTTTTTCGTCTTTTTTGTTGTTGTTGAATAGCAAACTTGGCGATCCGGAATAACTATGGTCATGGAACTCGAGAAGTAATGCATATCTTAGGGTACACCATACTAGCGCTTATGTCAGGCATGATTGACGAATTAAAGAAAGTGCTGAATTTTTTTTTTCTAAAAACTAAAATAGTGGTGACCAGAGCTGTTTAGATTAACGCAAGTGGTCCTTGGTGTGCCAATCACACAGGCCAGTGTGGATACTTCATTCTCGGCGCTCAAGCTTTTCTCATCAATGGTTTTGCATATCGAGGTTCCTGTTTCATACACTAATGACTCCACCACTCGGCGGGCTGCTTCAGAGATTATGCTCACTCCCTTGACACAAAGCATTGAGCCTGCCTAGGAAATTTTTAATTAACTTCCTAATTAATAGAAGGAAGGGGGTACTGGTTTGCACCAGTTGGTAGAGATTGTTGGTACATTTCCTTGTGCTCCTCCTGAAAACGTGGGAATAACGTGTTTAACACCAGCAGTTTTATCGTAACTTTTACTTCAAATGTTTGCATACAAATAAAAACTGTTACGGGACATTTTTGTCCTTCCGGAAACAGAATGGAACGTTTGGCGGTGAAACTAAACTGAAACTTAAAAGAAAAACATTTCATTCCGACACCCTTGTGGGAGACAAAATACCTATTTTTATGTAGGTTTGTGTGTGCGTTTGTGTATGTACGTTGACGCATGCAAAATTCAAAATTTTCGGGTGGATTTTAAACCCCCTAACGTCCCCCCCCCCCCCCCCCCCACACCTTAGGTTATGGCAGAGAAACTTGAATCCTTTTGTCTTTACTGGAAATATAGTTTTGTCGAGTTGTTCATTGTACAAATTTTCGCAAATGTACGTAACTTTAATCGACACGGTTCTCTGTTAGCGCTATTTTATCAAGTTTGAAGCAAGCGGTAGCAGGCGCTTGCCATAGTATAGCACTGAAGCGACGCTAGCGCCACCTCCGGGTGCCGCTGAATGGTAGCGTTTTGCGTTTGGCCAGAAGCACGACAGAGGGCAGCAACAGTTCCACAATTGGTGTTCAGCGGGCTTTGCTAGCATGCGCGTGTTACACTCAGTGAAGCCAACTTTGGGACTTCATTCTCAGTTGCATGGTTTTTCGCCTTGGCTTCAGGGGTCACATTATTTTCCATATTTACTATCCGGACAATTCTTGGCATGGTTGCTTTCTGAGTCACAATAAATGCTACAGGTTGAAGTTCTTACTAAATCTTAAGCTCCGAAGCTAAGCGAGAATTGAAATATTCTCTCAATTCCTGTGCGCTAAACACTTCTGTGCCTCAGACATGTGCACTGTAAATTTGTTGCAGAGCGCTTTTCATAGCTTTTCGACAACGCTTGCTAACAGTCCTTTT